CTTATCCATCAATTTCCGTGCTCTGCGGATGTTTGGCTACTTTGATTACAGAAAAGTCTGAACATCATCCAGGACTCTGATTGCAGCAGAAGTCGTCTAGGACTCTGATTATAGAAAATATCGTCTTAGCCTTTGATTACAGAGATCGTCTAGGTTTTCATCTTTAGACCCACCTTGTGGATTGAGTGTATCATGATCACTTCCAGAGTGATGGGGGCAGGGGGTTCACATTAAACAAAATTGGTCATCACTTAAGTTTAAAAAAAAGCTCAGAATGATGAAAAACTGCACGATTTTAAATAAATTTTGGAGAAAGGCGTTCTTGAACCCCCCCACCCCCTTCTCTGACTAGGGGTCTGACTTTGTCAAATGTCATGGAGGTCGCAATTATATTCATAGAAAAGCATAAATTAAATAACTTCCCCACATTTTTACGTCTTTGCCTCTCTATGTTTGATTTTTATTTTCTTATCCCTCAGGAAAAAAACTAAAAATAGAAGGACATGTGATTTGATCGTATATCCTATACCCCAAAGGTCTCAAAAGTTTTAAATTATTTTTGAAAAACCTCTACCACAGAAATAACACCGGAGGAGATGGAAATGACTTTGAGCCTTGCAAGTTAATGTTTCAAAAGTACACAAGCGTTTGCGTGTATACTTCGCGTGGCTAAAGTTCTAAACTAACTGTCAAAACAAAACAAAGAATGCAATTTTATTGGCGATCATGCACATGCTTTCTTCGAGAGCTTTACCATACTTAAGTCAATTATCAGCAAACTTTATGAATTAAAATCAATTGTAGGCTATATGGAATAAGCTAACTCCTGTTAAAGATTAGTATAGACAAAACACATAGATAGAACAAAAAGTCCTTTGAAAAGTATATCAAAATGAAAAATGGATAATAAATATTTCAAACATATAAATCCGCTTATTAAAGAATAACAATTAACACAACTGGGAAAAATGTTCATGCCTTATAATCAGCCATATCGATGCAGATAAAACCGTCTAGATAGAACAAGTGACAATAACGAAAACAATTAGCAGATCCATGCCAATTAATTAATTATCGGACTTTGGATTTTTCTTAGTTTATACTCGCTTCAACAACTGCGCACCCCTCTCTTGTCAGTAAACACAGGTCGGAAGAAATCATCATGAGATTTTGACATTGTACTTTCATCAACTGTAACATAAAGACCGGCGTGTTATAATCTTGACGACTCATTTAACCTGCCATATATTGCCCGTGTTGTCGTAATTTTCAAATTTGATAAACAATTTTCGAAACCGTATTTTTAGATGTACTTTTTCATGTAGATTTCAAATTATGACATCACTTTGACTGAATTTTGAATATTTAATGACGTAAATCAAAATTATTTCTACTCGCATCTAGTCTACCTTGTATTTCAAGGGGAATCTGTGAAACAGAATACAAATATTATACGATATATTAAGAAGGGAATGATAAAGTATGTAAAATTCCTGCTGAATATACAGTATGCATGTATGAATCTGGGAAATCTCTCGGTGTATCGAATGTTACGACGATCGGAACATTCACTGGTTTAATCCAGGAGGTTTAATCTCCCGACGTGATATACAGCAAGTACTCGGGCAAGTACAATCCTTTGGAATACCAAAGCGTTAGATAAAGTGAGACTCTAATAGATCAGAATGTCCCGACACGGAAATCAGAATGACAGAAATATAATTTTGAATAATTTTGGGAGGTAGGGAATCGCACAATTTTGTAATTCCAATGCTGCCCTTTGTGTTTTATCAACGTTATACAACGATGCAAACAAAACAGATCGTATTTAAATCTTATTCTAATTTTAATTCCTACATGAAATCTCAGCCCCCCCAAACACTAGTAACATTTTAAAGACTTTATCTAATTCAAACAATCAAATCAAATCAAAATTAAAACATGCAAACAGGTATATCTGCTTATGGAGGAATATCCGAAGAAATGTGTGACGCTGGTTTTCAGTCCTTAATCGCCGCTTAATACCTGAAAAGCAACTTATCTGCTTATTATAAGTTATCAAATAATTTAACAATTAAACAGAAACAATGCATGCCAAACATTTATCTATAATTGTTATATTATGGTTATTTTATAGTTTGCACTTGTATCGAGCAACTGTGTATCGGGCTGTGTATACGGGCCCTTTCTCAAACCCAATATGGGATTTAACACGTCACTTGAGGCAAGATTCATAAACTATATCTCCACGGGCTATAATTTGAAGAACGCCACTGACGGATCTGTCCCTTTTGGATGGGCCGTATTGTTCTTGTGTGTATCTTACCCACGGGAACCTACAAAACAGATATAATTGCATTGTGAAAAGGAAGTCCCGTCTCTATAAAACTTCCTAGAATAAGATTCAAGCAGTGTAAACATCCATATTTGCAAAAATAACGATAAACCACTGTCATTAAGTAGTTGTAGTACCATATTCGTATAGCTTTTGGGAAAGACGATAAAACGCAAAATATGATTGGAATATTTGCTGAAGTCTGGGATCGATGATCTGACAGAAAATTTAAGGAAGGCGTTGATCATGACTGAGCAAAATGAAAGAGCAAAGTAATAATAATTGCAATTTATGTTTATCATTTCAACTATTCCGAGTCAGAGAAATCAAGAATAAAAATGAAACTTTCCTTAGATATCTGTCGTATTGGCTTTACCGGGAAGGCTAGTTCTGGGGGGGGGGGGTAGCGCTTGTTTAAATTTTAAATTATTAAGATCAAAATGGTAAGGTCATATTGACGAATTTCCAAAATGACAAATTATTGTGCAGTGCGTTAAATTGGAATATCTTTTGATTCTTTTCCACTGGGGTACGCTAATATCCGATCTTAGTACTTCAATATTTTTGTTTGAAAGCAAGATCTTTAATGTAAACATCCGCATTTCAATATATCCTGAGACTATCATAGAATAATTCTGTGAATCCCAAGCACAACCCATTACAATATCAGTCTATAAGTCAATCTGTATTACAACAAATGAATAATAATCCCAAAAACAGTTCAACTATATTTGGCTTTGACTTATTTGTTTGAGAGGGATACGAAATCTAGGAATAAAAGTCACCGACGGTCCAACTTCAACGAACAATCTACATGTACAGACTTATCTTACTAATTTAAATAATTATTTGTCCTCATCGTGATTTGCCCGTCTGATTATACAGGTTTTACTTTCAATTTAGCCTCACTCAGACACACAAATAAAATGTAAAATTATAACATCATATTATAAAAACATTATCCAACCTCGAATTAACACTAATGAACACGATGTGATGACTTTATTACTATCTATGAGGAACCATTAAACAATTATGAACGAAATCCAGATACGTACAGTTTATTCATGAATTTGGAATATAATGTCGCAATTCATTCTAAATATCTGTTAAATATCGAATCTCTTACATTACGAATCTCTTATTAAAATATATTCTATTTATACAATATTGTTTTTCCCGTCATCCGTGATTTCCACATGTTGATTGTATTCTATTTTATCAAATGATCGGAAAGTAATACCATGAAATGAGTAGCATTAGACATGTTAGATTATACGCCCTTGAATTACACTTATAAACACGATGTGATGATTGTTTCATTTACTTAGAGGAACGCATTAACAGATTAATCAATTATGAACGAAATCCAGATACGTACGATGTAAGGATTCATATAGAAGGTAGTTTGCAAATGAATCCTGCCTTCAGGAAGGCAGGATTCATTTGTAAACTATATTGCATATGAATCCTGTATGATTCCTGGAGGCTGGATTCATTTGTAAACTATATTGCATATGAATCCTGTATGATTCCTGAAGGCAGGATTCATTTGCAAACTACCTTCTATATGAATCCTGTACGAATCCTGAAGGCTGGATTCATTTGTAAACTATATTGCATATGAATCCTGTATGATTCCTGAAGGCAGGATTCATTTGCAAACTACCTTCTATATGAATCCTGTACGAATCCTGAAGGCTGGATTCATTTGTAAACTATATTGCATATGAATCCTGTATGATTCCTGAAGGCAGGATTCATTTGTAAACTATTTAAACAGCGAATCCTGTATGAATCCTGGAGGCAGGATTCATACAGGATTCATATGTGCATATGAATCCTGTATGAATCCTGACTCCAGGATTCAGTGGTTTGATTCACATTTTTTGCTGTGATATTTTACATAAATCACCTAGTTAAAAAGTGAATAGTAAATAAAGTAGCATACAAATTCATGGTTCAAAGAGGAAGTTCTACCACATGTCATTTTTATTGCCTTCATGTAACTAATTTTAATGTTGAAATCGGGTGTTCTGTACTGTTTTTGTCAATTAGTAAAATTGAAATAATTTTGAAACATGTAGGTTAATTATGAATTTGAAAATATAGTAAATATGCCTACTGTTATTTATAAATTGCAGAGCATACTAGACTGGGGTCTGGGGATATCACCTTTTCTTTAATAGTTATTCTATTATTGTGTTATTGTCACGCACGTGCTTAGAAATAAGCATAAATCATAACTTCACATTTTGAATGTTTTATCCCCTCTATTATTGTTACTTGTAGAATAGCGCAAGTGGAATATCACCTTGTACTCTCCTTGTACTTGTGATCGGGAAAGGATGATGATATTTCTTGAAGCACCCGCACACATGACTGTCACTCAGCATAATATGGCGACAATATTTATTTTTGGCGGTGATGTTAAGCGAAAGCGGGAGCGAAAGTAGCATGACTAATATGTCTAGGTTACTGTAATTTGCCCTGATTTATAAATCAAAATAGACCAACCTATGTGGACTCTGTTTGGTAACATGATAAGATATATACATACTATTTCCTCAATACTAAATAAAATTAGAAAGTATAAATTGACGTGGTTGTCTGATAAGCAGTATATTGAATTAACGAACTAAGTAACTTTTATTTACAAAGAAAAATGGCCTCTTCGGCAATGATAATGTTCTGGATGGCGATGATGTATATTACCCTCTCTAGGATGAAAGCAGTTTCAGCAAGTTATCAATACCCAGATGAACCATACATTAACTTTACAACCGAGACAAACCATACATGTCCGCAAGGATGTTCTACCTGTAGTGACATGAGGTATATCTGCACCAGCCTAAATGTCAGCACTGTTCTACAGACATTCCCGATTACACTCCAGTACCTACAGCTTACGGATATACCAAGTGTTCTGGACATTCAGAACAACACCTTCAAACGGTACGCCAGTCTGAGGTATTTAGATATCAGTAGGAATCGCATTGAATCAATCGTCCAAGGATCACTTGGAGGACTATGGAAATTGGAATATTTCAAGATCAGTCAATCTGGCGTTATCGTTTATAATTACTTCCAAAAGTCTCCCTCCTTAAAAGATATGGACAACAAGACACTGTGTGACTTGAAAGCTCTTAAATATCTTGATATGAGAGGAAACAACATGATGAGTTTGGACAGAATCGTGGACAGACTTAGAGCAATGACAAAAGCATGTAGGAACTGTACAACTGATTACTTGGACTTATCATATACTAATGACGTTGATGTAAAAAATGCACAGATTCAAAGTTACACGCTGAAAAGGGCAAAAATGGCTGTCTTTAAAAAATTGAATGTGAAGGTTTTGAAACTTGATGGCAACCACATAAGTTCAATAGAACATGGCTTTGGTGTACTTTTAAATTCAGTAAAATACATCTCTGTCCGAGCAAACTACATTAAAGTAAGTTTTTGGCAGGATGGGAATATATTCTTTCTGGTCAATTTCTTAATAATGTATAACTTGAAAGTTGTGGATATGGGCGGCAATGCATATTTGCCAATTAAGGTCAGCCATCCAATACACCGACGGAGTAATTATAACATGCAAATATTTCCCGCAAATCTTGAAGAAATATACGCTGACAATATAGCTCTCACTAAGGAATTCTACTTTTGGGACGATGATATATGCATGAGTACCCCAAACCACCTTAAGGTTTTAGACATGTCAAACACAATCGTTGCCGGGTTAGGTGCCTCACTATTGGGCTTATATAACCTCACATACGTGAACTTTCAGAACTCAAAAATAATTTTCACAGATCCGAATGCACTCAACTGTAAAAACTTTCCGAAACTCCAAACTCTCCTACTGGGAAATGTTGACTTCCGACCCATGTACACTCAACTAAATGACACCGTATCAGCATTCCAGAATTGCTCAACAATAAAATCTATTGATTTAGAAAATACAAATTATGCTGATCCACGTGTGAATACGTTTATTGACATGGACAATGTGCGATACATCAACCTAAGCAATAATGGGATTGTTTCTTTGGACATTGATCTCCATAATAATTGGAATTTAAAACTGTTGAACTTATCATCAAATCGCATAAGCCAGCTTCCAAAATTGATGATGTCACAATTGGATCATACTGCTAAAAAGGCCAAAGAGAATCAAACAAAACTTGTAGTAGACTTGAGCTTCAATCCATTGCTCTGTGGCTGTGGTCAACAACAGTTCATCGAATGGATGAAAACAACCAGAGTAAAGTTCTATAACTTTGAATCATACCGTTGCCTCAGGAATACTGAGTATCATCTTCTACATACATTATCCATTAAAGAAACAGCTTTAATGTGCAAGATGACAGTTATAGTGTCAATTTCATCTTCCATAGGTGTAATGATACTTGTGGGAATCTTATCTTTGGTTATCTATGCTAAACGACATCGCTTGGAATATCTCTGGCTGATGACAAGACAAATGGTGAGACGAACCCTTCAGACCAGGAAGCAGCCTGACGACTACAGGACATTCAACTACCATGGGTTCTTATCGTACAGTAGCAATGATGATATTTCAATCATCGTTAAAATACAGGAAAAGATAGAGGAGGAATTTGGACTCTGTTTGGTCATTCATCAACGGGACTTCATTCCTGGTGAACTAATTAATACAAATATCATACACTTCATTGAAGCTAGCCGCAAAGTAATCATACTAATGTCGAACAATTACTTAGAAAGCAGATGGTGTAATTTTGAGTTTGAACTGTCGCGGAATAAGCGTCTCGATGCTACCTACGATACCATGGTGATGATTCTGCTGCATGATCTCAAGGATTTAAACAAGGATAAAATATCTTCCAGTTTGAAAAGCTACCTAGGTCAGAAGACCTTTCTTCAATGGCCGAAAGATTCTTCACAAAACCCAGCATTCTGGTTGAGATTAAAAGAGGCCCTAGATTTTGGTGATGTAGAAAATGGCACTGATGATGACGATGGTACTGATCACACTGATTCCACACAAAACAATATGATTGAAAATCAGGATGAGGGGTATCCTGGAGCTGAGCTAATCCAATTGGATATTGAGCCTAGAGATGTTAATGCATTTCATTATGATGGTGTATTGCATGATGATGTTGTAGTGCATCATAATGACAACAGCATATTGATGACTGTTGATGCTGAAGTGCACATTGATGATGACATACAGCCATTGCTGTAATCCTATACTGTATAACAATTTAACAATATTTGTAAGCAGAGGCAAACATATTATATGTAACGATTTTAGATTATCATTTCTTCATAAATGTGATTCTGCAGATGACATTAAAATACACAATAGTGATCTCCCAACCACTTAACTGGCTCTGCCATCACCTGAATATTTGGAATGGCTTGTTTGGATAATTAAGTACAGACAATTCAGATACTAATGGATAGGAATATCAGAATTTTGGATTAAGACATATGTACTCATTTATCATAAAACAATCATTCACTAGTATCTCTCATAATACCTCTAAATCATCTTCAAATAATAGTCACGTTGTAATAAACATTAAGTAGGTATACCTTGTAGAATTGTACACTGTCTCACCAAATAATATTTACTTTGAAGTTTGGCTTATTTTGAGGAAAACGATAGTGTCATAAATATAACTTTTAGATTGATTGTGTAAATACTGGTATATATGTACCATCATCATATTAACCTGTAATAAATTATATATATTATTTCATGAAAGTAAAGATTGCGATTGCACTGTATTGGCACTTCCAAACGATATTTCAGGCGTAGAAAAAAATCCCATTTCATTCTTTATTGTTGTAATTTAGAAGCATGAGTGTACATATGCACGAGGGTGGAGCCCGACCTTGATGCACTGAAATACTCTAAGTTGATTGGTTGAGACACACTTGGCAGATTGGATTTATAGATAAGATGTATAGATTTCTTTTTGATAACAAAACACGAGTTTTAAACTAAACTAAGCTTCAGTTGCATTTTCATCACGACTTCGCTTTAGAATAACTTTCCGTTTACCACCCATGGGTTTATAAGCGAGAAAATATCAATTTCTTCGACATATACTGTCAAACCAGTGTATACGTGAAGCATTTTTGTCTTTCCTTTTCCATCCCAGATTTTAAATATTTTACCCTTTAAAAGATGTCGCAACTACAAATAATATATATAATCAACTTATTCTCTAATATGTAGCAGGAATGAAAGTCAACTGACTTAAGACATATCGCTTAACTAAGACGGAGTGGCTTCCTCCATCGATACAGTGCTCTTTGACAGTTTTGGCTAGAAAAATGTGCAAAAAATGCTCAGAATGGTGAAAATTGCATGATTTTGAAAAGATTTCTAGCCGGGAGGGAGGGTATGGGCCTGCAATTTAATCTCATATTTTAAACACTTTTTTATATTTTTTAGCACTTTAGAACACAAATCGCTTAATTGATCACGGGTACATTAATTCATGCATGATTAGAGACATTAAATAGGCGAACGCTATAATAAAGGCCAGACCCCGATCCTAATGGATTTTCTCCCTTAACCGTGTAAGTCACAGTTGGGGCCCCAGATGTTTCGAACTCATGGGTGGTGGTCCAGGATATGTTCTTCATGATTCATCAACAGCCGTATGATGATTGGGAAGGAGGGGTGGTTGTAATTCAAGTAGGTATCGGGTTGTTCCCGATTGGGTTGTGTGTTCGTCTCCAGTTGGAGAAAGTTAGTTTTGTATATTTTGTATATATCGATTGAGTATTTGGTCGAGACTGGTTGTTTTAAAATGGGTTGGTGTCAGGAAGTGCCTTATTGTGTTGTATTCTATCAACGACGGGTTGAGTTGAGTTTAGTCTTGTTGACTGTGTTTATTTATTGGATTTTGTTTCATATAAAACAGGAGAACTTGTACTTGTACTGTACTTTTATTATATAAAATACATATAAATAAATAAATACCTATAAAAACATGTAAAATTATATTTGTGCTTGATTGTGTTGAGCTGGTTTGACAGTGCAGTCGGTTGTGTTGGGGTGGACCATTGTCTGGTTCAGCTTGTTGTGATGTGTTAGTTTAGTATTCGGTTGTGCCCCATTGTGTTGTGATTATTTTATAATGGGTTGTGCTGCGATTGCTGAGTTATGTTGGTCGGGTGGCAGGTTGTGCCTAGTTGGGTAAGGTATCTAGGGTTTCTAGACAACTCATGCCAAGACAAGTCATCCCAAGACAAGTCATCCCTAAGACAACTCATCCCAAGACAAGTCATCCCTAAGACAACTCATCCAGAGACATCTCATCCCAAGACAACTCATCCCACTAGTATTGTCCTCTATATTATATTTATACAGGGTGGTCCAAAAAAAGTGAACCCCTGCAACAGGCTATATTTTCCTTAATACATGCATGAATTTGCTCATATTATAATTCATTCTCAGTCTTGAATTTCGAAGAAATTACAAGACTTAAACAAACATATCTCAAATTAGATTTTGTGCAAAATTTTACCGATGCGATTGACGGAAATTGTTGATACACATTAGTTGATCTTAAAAAGTACACACTTACCAAATATAAAGTTAAAATTTGTTGGATGAAGTAACAAATCAAAAAAACAAAAATAACTACTAAATTATTCCACCCGAAGTTTGGCCATGCTGAAACGAAGACACCATGTATTCGTTTCCAGTATGATGTCTTCGTTTCCAGTTGATCCCAATTGACCCTGACAAGCTCGAAGGACTTGCGTACCAAGACAAACCCCAATGTGAGAGAGACTACGTTCCAATGTTGGTGAATTTTGATAATTTGCAACGTTGGAATTTAATTATGATCATAAAATGTCAAACAATTCATCAGACCACAACCGTTTATTCCGGAATGCAATCTGCTTCTTTGTCAATAAACGAACAGTCAACGAGAACATTTGTTCATCGGAATACAAACACAATTTGCAACTGAACAAACCATACGATATCATCATAGCGAAACAATACAATACCAAGAAACCGTGTTCGTTTCACCAGTGGATGATAGAAGATTCTCATAATTTTTCAAGGCATTCCTGAATGATTGACTTCATTAATTGTATATGATGTTTGAGGTTTATGCTGTTTTCTTAGTTGCAATAAGTAAGTTTTTTATTTCGCCGTTATGTTATCGTGATAGTGACTAATGGATTAAAGCGGCAACAAGGACTGAAGAGAAAATTCGAACATTTTTATTTTTCTGAGCAATCAGGTCAATATTTAGCTTAACATCTTCTTTGACATACCAATTTTCTTAAAATGGATGGATGAACTATCAGTTTCAGCATTAAGAAGTGTAAATTCAGTTCAAAGCTTCAATAAAGAGAGTCCCATTTTTTTAAAGAGAGAATCAGAGATAGCGAGCAGGCTAAACAAAAAATTCTTTCAATTTTAGAATATTTTTGGCTCATGTCATTCCTTGTCATGTCTATTTTCTAAAAATCACAAAATTGCATACATAATTCCAGGAAAACTAAAGATTTTTACAATAATGTATTATTTTTCTATAAGAATGGTTACCATTCTTATTATTTGAGAGAATTTAAACCTTTTTCACTCATTTAGCAACTTTGAATCAGTAATAACTTCACCAATTTATAATATATTGTGAATCTTTTGGGAGATATTGCATTTAATATTGTAAGGAATAGATTGGTAGGTCAATTATACATGTTGCTTGTAATTTTGTCACCCCCTATAGATCAGATTCTGCCTTTAATTTTTAAGACGTTTAAACGTTTCAAGAGGAATATCAGCTGAAATAATGTTCATCCAGTTTTTGTAGATAATTAAAATGTATGTTAGTCTTGATGAAATATCCAAACTTAAATATATTTTGACACTGGTCGATGATCGTTGAATGGCCCCCTGCACGAATTTTTACACCTTTATTAAAATTAGAATTGTAAGATCTTAAGTACGGTGTATTAGGTCTTTTTAAATTAAATTGGTTTTTATATGTACATTTTTCGTATTCGGGGATATGTAGTTTTAAAGCAATAAGCTTATACTTACAGCATGCGTATGTACGATGGAACCCCAAAAGTCAACGGGCTCTCTTGTCTGTACAAAGGGTGGAATAACGTGTACCCGTTTCGAAGAAGGAATTGCCCCTGTATGTGATACACAAAATACGACATACCTTAAAACACAGGTGAACAAACAGATCGTTGAAAAGCGATGCGTATTTGACATCAAAAATGGCAGCTCAAATTGTGCACTTGGAGAGTAAAATTCAAGAATGCTGTTCAAAGACCGAATCAAAAGATAAAACGATTGAAAAGCAACAGAGAAATCTATTGTAAAACCTGATGGTACGTGATTTTACAACGTAATTACGATAAAATACACAATACAGTGCGTATCAAAAAAACGCAACATATTGTTATCTTGGAAAAGCACAAAACCAGTCATAACAGCATTGATTTCATTCAATGCAACATAAAGCCATGTGTCTCCTCTTTACAATGATATATCATTCATTGATATTTGGTCACGGGTGGGCGAGTAATCATTCCATTTGCAAAGTGGGCCAAAATTAGCTTCGGGCCAAGTTATAAACATTGCAAAAGTCAGTGTAAGGAGCCCGATGCAATATTGGATGAAACATAAAACCAATGCTGACTGCATCCTTTTAATTCAATGTACCAAAAGCCAAATTACTCCTCTTTGTAATGGAATATCATTCATTCACAGGGAGTCATCTCTGGCCGAATAATCATTAATTTTGCAAAGTGGGGCAAATTTCAGCTCGGACCCAAGTTTAAAACATTACAAAAGTCAGTACAATGGGCATAGGGGCTATTGGAAGAAGGTGTGACAAGTATGGCATAGACAGTAAAGTGTTCATACTCATACTCTTGCAAGAAAACATCCTATACCCCACCAAATTGCCACCACTTCCTTGCACATAAAGATGCGCTCATCTGTCCATGTCATGCATGGTTCAGCCCTGAATCAAGACAAGCAGCCCATGGGCAAATATTTCTTGAGGTTTTGCAATATCTGGTGAAGGAATTGTGAGCACAGATGCTCCTGAGATAGCTCCAAAAGAAAAAGTCACAACAATTCAAGTCAGGGGAACCTCCATTGGCACTAAGCCCTTGCACTGAATTTTTCAATATCTAAAACTTGGTGCAGAGCCGATTTTGACCCACTGTGCAAATGGAAGGATTTCTCGCCCAACCATTACCACATGTGAATGAATGACATATCATTGCAACGAGGAGAGACGTGGCCTGATGGTACATTAAATGATTTTACGAGATTTTACGAGATAACTACTTGTTGCGTTTTTTTTATACGCCCTGTACAAAACAACGCAATACTGTAATAGTTATTTAATGATTCGAGTGAAATACGGAACATATTATGCCCGAAAAAGGCTGTATTCCACGAGGATTCAGCCTCTGGTTGACCAACTTATGGAGGGGAATGTACTTATGCTTTTCATTTATACTTACAATAAGCTTGATACAAAATTCGCTACATAAAACATGTAAAACCACAGAAGATAATTAGTACTTGTGTATTGCAATATTAATGAACTATGTACTGAATACCGTATATAAATGAGGTGGGAGAAAAAACAGTTAATGTAAATCATGTGTAAACAATATAATATATATTTCCATATAACAAATAAATCATATCGTATTCTCATGATTCTTAGTATTAGAAATAAAACATGATTCATTTCTGTTTGCTCCGACATTAATTGAAGAAGTAATCGAATACTGGTAGATGAGCGCAGCAATCATGGATGTGAATTGTAAGTATTTTAAGTTTTGTGAATAAGAACTGGTGAAGACGTGCCTTCAATAATTAATCTTTCTGTGAGCTATGATTTGTAAAAACACTGTCAAGAGCGGAGAAAAATGATAAGTATGACAAAAACACAAGTTACGCTAGCGATCAGAACTTTTGACTAATTAACACAGTTTTGTATTTTTGTTTTTCAATATACAACTGTTTTCTTCATTCTGTTTTTGATATGATATTCATGGACGAAGCCGGCAATCGGCCAATGGGGGGAGGTGCGGATTTTTAGGTTCGCATCACTGCGAGCGAATCGAGACCCTAAAAAGGTGGTACGGGGGTTCACTCCAGTTTGACCGGTCCAATACAAATGAAAACCTGTGTATAGTGAACACCTATTTAGCCACAAAAAGTGTTCACTGTAGGTTTGTGTTCACTACAGAGAGGGTAATTTATACAGAAGTCAGTAGAGTATGTGTGGAGGAAGGGTGTCCACTAGAGACAGGTGTTCACTAGAGAGAGGTGTTCACTGAGACAGGTTTTACTGTATTTCATTTGTATTGGACCGGTCAAACTGGACGAAATACCCGGAGAATTATTGAATGCCTACAAAATGAGAACAATAATACGCCCTTTTCAACTATTACCTGAGAATATGAAAACTAGATATCAAACATTGATAACTCTAACTTTCTTTCACAATCTACAGGTCGAATTTGGAACTTGGCGTTCACTTGTAGTTTACTGCTGTTTGGCCATATAGTGCTTGGATTAGAGAGCATTAGCGATGTTACTAAAGCGGAAGACATAACTGTCATAAAATATCCGAATACTTCGTCAAGTGACCTTATCAGAGAACTGTCTCCCGCTGAGCTGTCATATCGTCTCAACAATGTAGCACAAAATATAGAAGCTTATCTCAACCTTGCTATACGAAAGGGAGATAGAAAGGTCTTGAAAAAAACAGAGAAACAAATTCGCAAAGTTCTGAATAAAATTAAACGTTTGCCAGGTCAAATAAAGAGTGTCAAAAAGCAAGTATTGATTTTGATGAGCCTCCTCGAAAAAATCGCTATGGCAAAACAGACTCCGACTGTATTTATGAACGAAACGAAGAAATTTATCAAAGCAGTTGCTAGAGGCCCTAATGAATATGCGTATAAAACGACCACAATTCAAAAGCAGATTGAAGTCGTCGAGAATATTCAGAGAGCAGTTAAAACGTACCTTTCCCTCTACAAGAACGAAAGTAGAACTGAGAGCATCGGGGAAGTCGTCGAAAAGCCCGATAACGTCGTTCAAGTCTCGATGAAAACAATTAAATTGCTGAAGACTTTGGCCAAAAACTATATGGTTTTGAAGAGGATTCTTGAGAAAATTCGATTCCCAGCAGGTATGTGTGCAAAGATATTGTGAACAGTTAGAGATATTGGTATTTTGTAGTAAATAATAACATTTGGTACAAGCTTTTTTAAAAATGCTTAATTTCAGTTAGTATTCAAAACTACAAGTAGTTAGAACATAATATCTCTTATTCCATAATAACCTGTTTTCCAGAATATATCATATTTCTCGGAAAATATCATATTGACACTCGGGCTATCGCCCTCGGTCAATATGATATTTTCCTTGGCCAATATCATGTTTTCCCTCGGAATAAAATTCATATTCCATCCCTACTTACTTACGTCGTACGCAAAGCGTTTTATTGCCAGTACCATTTGACAGATATAGAAACCAATAAACAATACAGGGTGAGCAAAAATATAGGAACTTTCAGGGAATGTCTATTCAATATTCTTGCATATATGTGAGTGTTGTAGATATTTGCGGTATGGGAGGCGGGAAATGTTCTAGTGATGGAGCTGATGGGGGTTGCTGTTCAAATAAAATGCTTTCCTGTGATTTTACAAACAAGTGTACGTATACAATCAAAATAATGTAGTAATGACAGTAAAGCTGGAAGATTAGTATAGTATAAAATTCCCTCAAAAATGTTTTAATATTGTTTCGTAATGAGTAGTAGTATGAGATCTAAATCTTGGTAGCTCGCTGACCTAAAGAACGGTTTTATTCACAGCAACTAATACTGACTAGCGATCTGTTCGCTATTTCAACCGAGTGGCTTTATTATAATGTGATCATGTCAGTAGACTGACGGTTTGATCGTTATTTCAACTTCAAACTGACTTATATAATTTATGGAACTATCTAAAAAGATGGAGGTCAAGCCGTCAAAATAGTACCCGTAATGATTTGCGTATAACTATAATTACAGTATATATCATTTTTCAACAATATTGTGAAAGTAATATTCATAGTATTTGTACAACCAGGTTGCATTGAGAGAGAGGGAACATGCTTGGCAGATGCAGACTATTGTTGCAGAGGGTTGAAATGTATCTATGGAAAATGTCAACGTAAGGCTGTAACACATACTGTTTGTACATCAATCTGAATACTCGATTACGATCGATCAAATAGCGGTCACCAGCGCAATAAATTCGCACCATGGCGTTCCTTTAAACCTGACGTCATGAACTAGATTCAGCTAAAGTGCATCATATTTTGTAACATTTAATACCCCTCGCTCATAGCCATTACAACCTTTATAAATGTTACATTGAATAAAAAAAATAGTCTAAGTTGGTTATTTTAAAAAAGCATATTAAATCAGTTGTTTTCTGAAATGTAAAACGTCATAATGAATAACTAAAGCATTGATCGGGTAATAACATTGTAAAATCTATATTTTAGATTACCACCCTACTCCATGTCCTAAACCCCGTGATGTTGTCATTGCCATAGATACATCTTGTTCCATGTCACAAAGTGACAAAGAAGCTATACGTACTTTCCTACTTGAACTAGTAAGGGATTTAACTCTAGAAGATGGCGTGCATATAGCAATATTAACATTCAACAAGGGAATCCAACACGTCGCGTACCTGTTTAATTCGTATGACCCCGATAACTTGGTACAGCTAATTCATAATATGGACTTAAAAGAGGAAGAATGCGCTACTCATACGTTTGCTGCTCTTGCTGCTATCGAAAATGAGTACTTTTCTCCAATAAGGGGTGATAGACCGGATGTTGCCAATGTTGCCATTGTTATCACAGACGGTGTTACAAACCCTATAAGTAAGTGACGTCATGGTGTAAATCAAATATGTACATGTAAAGTTCAGACAAGCCTCCAGACATCGTACCTCCTTCTTCCGAGAAGAACATGGTGCGTGGATTATGTCTCGAGCCCTGCGTTCGGAGGATATTCAAGTAAAAACATATCAGTCAAAACTCTTAAGCAACTTGGCGATGATTCTTAGAATTATTTTTCATTTCGAATGATTTCAGAAAAACAAGCACTCACATTTCAAAATGCTGATTCTCTGCGTGCCACTGGGGTAGAACTTATTGTGATTGGCTTACCACAAGTATGTGCTGGAAAAGACGCACCAAGATGTGTGCCCAGGGTAATTGGGCAGGAAGAATGGATGGGGATAAGTGGTGCCGACGAAGACCCAATGTTATTATTGAACATTCTCAACACTCACTTTTCAAAATTGCGTGAATCACTTGTGAATGTTTATAACAGAATCTGTCATTAATTCCTATAGATTGGCAGAGCTTGCTGGAAACAGAATCGGCTCATCGTCTTGAATAAACGGCCGAAATGTTCAAACTGTTTTGTCAATGTGTCAAGCTCTATCTTAACTGGTCATCATCATAAAGTTATAATTTTAAATAAAATACACGTCGTTGAATTCTCACGTTTAATTTCCCAGTTATAAACTTTGAGTCTTATAGCGTAATTCATGGCAATGCCCCAATTTATGCTCCATTGCATCAGTGTCCCATGTGACGCTTGCCTAATAAAATAGTACTACTCTGGTAGCCCACTCATAGAATATTTTTGATTTAGTACAAGTTTGGTACTTAAGATTGGTTGCACCAAATTAGCTTATTTTCAAAAAATGGTTTGCAAATGTTGCTTTTGCAAAGTATACCATCATAAATCATCCATCATACGCTAGTTTCTCGGTCCGCCGAGGAGGTCGGGTTTTATTGGAAAGGTCCGTTTTATAGCCTCCAACCTTTTTGTAAATGGTGTTCGGCGGTCGGCGTTCGTGGGTCTGTGTTCGGCTATCGGCATCTGTAACAAATGACAGGCGTGACATTTTTCATGTTAATGTCTCGCTGCAATTTATTGTCGCGTCATTATTTGATCTCCGTATTGGATCAAAACTGGTTTCCAATAAAAATTCTAGAAGAATGGCGTCTAGAAGAATGGCTATCGGCGTCTGTAACAAATGACAGGTGGTAACATTTTCATATTAATGTCTTATTGCAATTTATTGTCGCATCATTATTTGATCTCCGTATTGGATCAAAACTGGTTTCCAATAAAATTCTAGAAGAATGGCGTCTAGAAGAATGGCTATCGGCGTCTGTAACAAATGACAGGTGGTAACATTTTCATGTTAATGTCTTATTGCAATTTATTGTCGCGTCATTATTTGATCTCCGTATTGGATCAAAACTGGTTTCCAATAAAATTCTAGAAGAATGGTTTATTTCGCCATTGCATGGGATTGGTTTATGTTTTCCGATTGATTGTGAAATACCTCACGGATGTGGTCCAAATATGATGGAGAACAAGGTGGTTGGTCAAAATGAATGGTGGGTATAGCCGATGCCATCGACGACATGAGGCTGATGTTGCATTGAACGGACTTGGGTTAAGAGAATTTCAAGCGTATCTAACATGAACAGCAAATATTTAATTTCCAGGTAATTCAGCCCCGGAAAAATGCCCAGAACCGCTGAGAACAGCTGTGACCGTAGCAAATGGTGTCGATAAAATTTCTAAAGGTAAAGCTGCAATTAAAAAAATAGCACTGGTTAGAGAAGCAGTTGGGGAGATTTTTGATGAAGCATTTGATGCGTGTTTTTCAGGATTTCCGCAGATATTCCATCGAACCCAGCAGCTTTGCGTAATTTAGCACATGTACATATACAGGGCGTATCAAAAAAACGCAACAAGTACTTATCTGGTAAAATCACAAAACTAGTGATCACTACATCAAGTTCATTCAATGTACCATAAAGCCACGTCTCTCCTCTTTGCAATGATATGTCATTCATTCACATGTGGTAATGGTTGGGTGAGAAATCCTTCCATTTGCACAGTGGGTCAAAATCGGCTCTGGACCAAGTTTTAGATATTGCAAAAATCAGTGCAAGGGCTAAGTGCCAATGGAAGTTCACCTGACTTGAATTGTTAACTTTTTCTTTTGGAGCTATCTCAGGAGCATCTGTGCTCACAATTCCTCCACCAGATATTGCAAAACCTCGAGAAAGAATTGCCGGGCTGCTTTTCTCTGCTTTAACCCACAGGTGACTCCGGGCTGAACCATGCATGACGTGGACAGATGAGCGCATCTTTATGTGCAAGGAAGTGGTGGCAATTTGGAGTCTCAATTAATCTACTAAACACCCCATGCAGACAGATCGCATTAAATTACAAGCGCATGATGTGAGACTCCGATACTTTTAAGAATTGATTAAACAGGCAATGCGCTTATTTTTGAAGCAAAAAGGACAAAATATTATTTGAGACATGTCACTCACACAGTCAATCGAATACTTTTTATTTTTTTTTATAATTTTTTTATTTCAAAGAATAAGCATGTTAAAGCAATTGCAAAAAACAATTACAGTACAGTTACATGATAAACATACATTTTACAGTTTTACAATACAGTATTGGTTAAAAGTTTTAAAAGTCTTTAAGGGACGTTATACCATTGGCATTTTTTTTGAAAAAATCATCAGTTCATTTGTTTAATTTTGCTTCCATGATTTTCCACTTATCGCCTCTGCCAACCCGTTTGTCCATAATAAAATATTCCTTCACATTACTTATAAAACCTTTAAGTGTTGGTTTTAGCATAGAATATTTGCACAAATAAACATACCTTTTAAAAATACATAGCATATTATTTAGGATGATTGTTTTTTCATGTATACTCTCAGGTCCTATCAATACATTTTGTTTAGTACATAGGATTGTGAGCTCTAAAGGGAGCCATTGTTTAATGTCCTTTAATAAGGCACTTACAATAGTACATTCATACAGAAGATGGCAAATTGTTTCAGGATTTGCTTTACAAAAAGTGCAAATGTTTGACTCTACGAGTCCACACATTTTTATGTATTAGTATGTATTAGTTGCTAAAAATCTACGAAGGACTTTGTAAGTGAAGGATGATAACTTAGGTTCATAGTTACTCAGTTTGTTAAGTTTATTTATCTTCTTCCAATCATTTTGATTGAGTGACAAATTTAGATCTTTATTCCATCCTTCTATATATTTTGAATTCTTTTCTAGATTCTGAACAAATTCCCAGTATATTATTTTACTAATCTTTGACTGAGTAAGGAACTTTTGTACATGTGCTTTATTTCTTTCATAATCAGTGATATTCTGATTATTCTCCATGACGTCTCTTAGCCAAGATTTTGGAATAGTGTTTTTTAGACTCAAATAGTCTAAAAAATTAATATTACTGTGGAATTTGTCATTGAATTCTAATAGCGTTAGAAGTCTTTTTGAATTTTGAAATACATCTTGTAGTACAATTACTTCATTGTTAACCTTTGTATTTTGTAGTATATATTGAACATTTTGATTTTTGGTATGTTTCCCCCATGTATTACACATAGCTTGTTCAGCTCTCAGTTTAGTATTATGTTCAGCTTCTTTTTCTTTCTGTTGTGTGTAAATCCTCAGAACATGAACAAAATCTTTCCAGAAATAATTTGAAATTTTTTCCTCAATTTTTTTAAGTGATTTTGAATCATACCTAAAAAGCTCATTTCTTGATCTTACATTGATGATTTTTAAGGCGGTTTCTTGCCAAGAGCCATCTCTAAGAAGTTTTTGCATCCATGTAAGTTTGAGGGATTGTTCAAACAGCGTTGGTTCAATCATTCTCAAACCTCCATCTTCAACATTTTGAACTAATTGTGAGAAGCTTACTTTTTTTTTTTTTTTTATAATTTTTTTATTTCAAAGAATAAGCATGTTAAAGCAATTGCAAAAAATAATTACAGTACAGTTACATGGTAAACCTACATTTAACAATTTTACAATACAGTACAGTGGTTAAATATTTCGTCTTAAGAGACGTTATACCATTGGCATTTTTTTATTTAAAGGAAAAAATCATCAGTTTCATTTGTTTAATTTTGTTTCCATGATTTTCCACTTATCGCCTCTGCCAACCCGTTTGTCCATAATAAAATATTCCTTCACATTACTTATAAAACCTTTAAGTGTTGGTTTTAGCATATAATATTTGCACAAATAAACATACCTTTTAAAAATACATAGCATATTATTTAAGATGATTGTCTTCTCATTTATACTCTCAGGTCCTATCAATACATTTTGTTTAGTGCATAGCAATGTGAGCTCTAAAGGAAGCCACTTTTGCTACTGTAGAATTCCATATAAAAGAAGTAAACAGTTGTTTTATTCTTTTATGATTTACACATGACAATTTGGGCAACACTAGAAATAAATGTACTACTTTAGGCAAAACAAACGATTTAAGAACCGTTATTTTACTAGTATTGACAAGTTTCTTTTTTATATCTACTTATTACAGTTTGCATTTCCTGAATTTTATTTTCGAAATTAATGGATTCAATATTTTGAAGATCTGATGTTAAATTTAACCCGAGTAACCTAAACTTAGATTCCCATGTGAGTGGAATGTCTTCACACATTTTTTCTGAGTTGTGTTTACTTCCTAACCATATTGCTGATGTTTTTTCTTTATTAAGTTTTAACCCTGATGTTTCATGAAACTTGTCAAAAATGTACATACATTGTCTTAAAGAAGAGGGAGTTCCATCTAGGAAGATAAACGTGTCATCTGCATACATGCCAACCTTTATCTCTTTATCGAATATTTTGACCCCTTTAACTTCTGCATCTTTTTTAATTTTTGAACATAAAGGCTCTAGAGCTAAGATGAATGCGTAGCAAGAGAGCGAATCTCCCTGCCTGCAACCTCTCTTTAACTCATTGGCGCGTTATTTAATTATTTTTAAAAGCTACTGAGCGTTAATTAATTTATTAAGGATTAGGATTTTCATGCCTACCAATTTGAAAGTGACATAAAATCTAAACCAACAGAGATAACACCACCAAATTTTTACCCATGATTAGAAACATATGTATAAATCATATGTCAATGTATGAACTCATCACAATGAGAGGCACTGATGATAAAAAAATCCTAAACATGTATATTACAAAAAAACATAAGAACCCTACTAAATATTACCTTGGTGTACCCCAGCAGATTCCCTGGCCTGTCCCCCAGCCACAGAGTTGTCAGGCCCATCATCGTTTTGAAATTTCATTTTCTGAGGCTTCAAATATTAGGCTTCACTTCAAGAATCGCTGAATATAGCAGCGTTGATCATCATTACCCAGTCTAAATCGAGCGCTTTTTAAATACCACAATGTCTGATCACTTCCAGATTCGTATTTATTTCGAAATAAAGCAATAAGTGACCAAAATATTTTTTTTCAATCATTTCTCTTCGCCAAATTAATTTTAAATCACTTCCGCTCAATGTGAGTACCGAAAATTGGCACTGCAATACTAGGGCGACATCTTTCTAAGTCTGTTAAAACTTCCCTATAGCCTGGCGACCTGAAGTCGACATACGCC